TTATTATAAATGCATGTAACGTCTATTTTTTAATTTCTTAACAAAAAGCATTATTATTTACTAATGAATAAGTAGCAGCTAGGTAATAATTATTTCTAATAGACATAATATTTGTAAATGCTAAGTTAAAAATACTAAGACTGATGGTAAATTAACTTTGTCAATGCAAAGATCGAGAGCGGATCTGGGAATAATTGCTGGTCATGTGATCATTTCCTGCTGCTGAAAGCAAAAAGGACCTTACTACTTCATGTAAGACTACACGAAATGGCACTACTATATAATAATCTTTATTTATAGAGGGTAACACTTAACAGTACATAAAAATAACTGCTCAACTAGTGGCCCCCATACATATAATCAAACTATTCCGTAATAAAGTTTAAGATTAGGTTTTTTTAGTTTCTTTTTTTGGGGGGGGGGGGTTTGGGTTGGGGTTAGGGTTTGGATTTGGGTTTCAGGACGTTATAATAAATAATTAATAATCTAATAGTGCTATTTCATGTAGTCTTACATGAAGTAGTAAGGTCCTTTGGGAAAACCAAGACCAGAGCCAGTGAGGCATTTTTCTCTCCAGTTTCATTGTTTTGTTGTATTAGCCAATCAGAAAATATCGCCATATGAATAGATTGGTTTCTAGATGTGATAATCTCTTTCACAAGTCCTGGGAGGGGGGACCAAATCCCAGATCTGGAACCCTATAAGGTAGAACCAGCATCCTCGCCCTTTTCCAATCAGAGTCAAAATTATCACTGGCAGTGACACGGGTATTCATGAAAGTGATGTAGTTTTGGGCGAAAAAACTTGTTCATTTTCCCTTTTGTCCAAAATTTTATCACCCTTATGCCTGTTTGCGGCACAAATAGTTTTTTTGGTGAAGACCAATACTAACGTTGACACTGAGGAAATGATCACATGGTTTCTTGTCTGTAAATAGTCCTGTAAATTGGCCATTGCAAGGTTAAAGAAAAAACTGCATTGAGTTGACGTTGCATTGCATTGTGATACTGTTTTGGGGGACATTTCCATAGTAGGTTTGCGTCTATTTTGTGCCCTATATCAGTCCCCCAACTGACTGAAACACCAACTTGATCCAGTTTTTGCCTCAATCTCGGGGCAAGGTCGCAGCTCTAAGAAGATCTAACCCAATTGGATGAATACAATAGAACGAGAAACGATATAAACAAAGCAAAAGAACGAGTTGACAATGAAAACTATTGTTTGTTTTGGCCAATGTCGACAGCTCTTCTTAGCGGGTGCGACATTACTTCAACCTCAGAATGGCTAATAATACAGAGGTCAGGAATGGGGCTGAAAACGGTTGTCATACGATATTCTTCGGAAACGAAGGAATCTATTGATTTATATCTTTTGTATATTTTTCTATAGCTTTCATCAAGCTATGCAGCGTCCATACCCCAAGTAGTAACCCCAACAAGAAACCAGCTCGACAACTCACGCTTCGCCGTCAACAACGCCTCGAAGAAGAACGCAATCGAAGAGCCAGACAAGCACGTGGTGGCCCGGAGGGGTATCCTGGACCATCCTACGGTAACCAACCACCACCACCCTACCCCGGTAGGGATATAGAGATGCGCGGGCATCGTTAATCTTAAAATAGACCAAATCCACTTGGACATAATGTTTTACCATTTCAGACCACGTGTCATAATTATTCGACCCTAGAGTATGATTTTTATGTTTAACAGTTATTTATGAAAAGGCCTACGAGCGAGTATGGATACAACTTAAACAAAGAATCTTATTCTCAAGGGAATGACACGTGGTCTGAAATTGTCCAGGTGGATTTGGTCCATTACGTCTGATATCTCTGTTTACACTAACTGTTGAACATATTGTTTGTTAAAAAATATTCGGTTACTACTTAGTGGTAATGATTTTGTGTTTTTTGAGGGGGTGGGGGGTGGGGATTCCTGATAGAAAGAAAGGTTTAGTCAAGAGAGGTTTGACACCATCACGTGGCAATTCCCATAATACAGCTGGGGCTGCCTGTGGTTAGATGCCAGAGCAATAGAATCCCTTTGCTCTCGGGAATTGAATTCATTCTTTCTCATGTAAAGCGATTGTATTGTTCCTGCCATCTAACATGGCTGCCATCACGTGATGACGCCAAACCTCTATTGGATCCAGGTGGGCTAAGTTAATATAAATTGTAGCTCACTAGTAGGGAAAAGTGCCTTCATTGAAAGCCAAAAATTTGCATTTATCTTTAATTTAAGACTTGTTTGCATCTGAATGTTTGACCGACTAGTTGTATTTGACTAAAACAATTCGCCCTCGTGGCCTGTGAGTGAATAGCCCGTTCATGCTAGAGAACTAATTGCTAAATTGATGGTTTTCAACCATTCCCGAGAAAATTGAATAACGAAAGACACGGCGGCCATGTTGGAGGATATAGCAAAAGAATTCATTGACAATTCTTTTGTTAAGTTCCTCCAACATGGCCGCCGTGAAAACCATCAATAACACGGGAGACCGTCTTATATTCCATTGTTTAAGCCAGTTTAAAGTTACATTCGATCATATACGACCTACCAGTTGGTTCTGAATCTTCCCTATAAATAAATAAGTAATGATAAAAGGGTAAATTATACACCGTGAAAAGATGAAAAAACTTACTGACGTTTCGGACTCTAGTCCTTCGTCGGAGTGACTAGCGTCCGAAACGTCAGTAAGTTTTTTCATCTTTTCACGGTGTATAATTTACCCTTTTATCATTACTATTTGATTAGAAACACCGACGCAGCTCACACTAGTTTTTAGCTAGTTATCTCTTCTTATAAATAAATAAATAAATAAATAGGATTTAACAGTTGCATTTCCACAGATTGGCTCTACTGAAATTCCAATTGGAATTTAGGAGTTTATTTTTGCAGAGGGAGGAAAACGGGAGAACCCGGAAAACCCTCGAAGCACAGGAGAGCCTGGCGGGACTCGAACCCAGGTCGCGGTGATGAGAGCATGGTTCGCACAGGCCTTGAAAAGTCCTTAAAAATGCATTCGGTACTTGAAAACTCCTTGAATTCTAAAATTTTGATTTTGGTCCTTGAAAAGTCCTTGAATTTTTCTTTTCACTCCTTGAATAATTCATTTTTATCCTGGAATTTCTTGGGTGCTATCTAAAATATATTTTTTCATCTTAAGAAAGAGAAAAAACCTTGGTTAAAATTACAAAAATAATTAAAATAATACATAAAACAGTAATTTCCGGTTGTTTTGCAGTATTGTGGGTAATTTTCAAGATGACGTAAAAAATGCATTCAATTTCATACTTTGAGAATATATTTAATTTTTCATATTATTGAAATGAAAATAGTCCTTGAAAATGACCATTTAAGTCCTTGAAACGTCCTTGAAAAGTCCTGGAATTTGTTTCTTAAATTACTGTGCGAACCATGAGAGAGGTAAGCGCACTCACCGCTGCGCTACCTGTTTTCCAATTTCAGTGTAAAATACATTTGTACAACTTAAATTTGTGTGAATATAGATCGTTAAGTTTCTTTGAGAGCGCGACAAAATTGTGCACACTTTTTCCCTCTTCCACAAAGGGGCACTGTTTATCCATTTTCATCCATCCATTTTCATTAAGTTGCTTTACAGCTTTTTTAAATAGTTGATGATTCTTTTATTTGTTGGCCAAATGATTCTAAATGTAGGTTCCCAGTAAATTGGCTGTGTTTCTAGACACTACGGAATTAATTGATTACGGAACTATCAAGGAATAATTGAAAACTCGCACCGATGTGAGGCTTAAGTTGTGAACAAAGGGATCTGGCGTGACTCAAAGTAATCTGGCGTGATTCAAAAGTCACGAGTCACGCCAGATTCCTTTGTTCACAACTTAAGCCTCGCATCGGTCAGGTTTTGAAATTGGTCCGCTATACTCTAGTTTCGAGTTCTCTTTTGCTCTGCCTTAGTCTCAGTTGTGCGTTATAATATTCAGCCACTCAAGACAACTAAAACCTTTGGAATCTTAAACAACCCGTATTGTTCGTATCACGTTCATCTTTTACTATACAATGGACCTTAATAAAAGAACACATTTGTACACAATCGAAGCTAAGGCTTAGCAGAGGCGAACTCGAAATTCTCACTTATTCTCTACTTTCACATCCCAATAATGCCTTGCGTTTTTGGGGGTAACCAATCAAAAAACTGTCCCAAATTGAAAGGTTTCTTAATTGAATTTATACTATACCTGCTTTTATCTGTACAATACTGATTATCAGTTTATTCCAAGTTATTTTTTTGTGTACAGATCATCAAGAGTTTTGGTCTTACAAAAAATGTATTGACTTACGAAAAAATGTTTAAAATTTACCTTAAACGTCTTCAAGCTTCTATCTTTTTCTGCTTTTTACTTCTTCATTTTATTTTTGGATACCAAACAAGGTATTGTCAACATTGTCTGATCAGCCTTCAGCAAAATAAGTGGGTTTTCACCCTCTGGTTACCCCCCAAAGACGCAAAGTATTATGGGGATGTGAAAGTAGAGCATACGAAATCTGCTCTTTTTACTGAGGTACTGTATGCTTCCTTGTACAGGAATACAGCAAAAGGTTTAAAATCTTTTGTATGAAAGTTTTTCGACAGTGACTCAAATTTGTCAAAACATCAACTCACAAGAGTGTGATGGAATTTTCGCTATTATTTCTGATTTTATTGTACTTAATTTGTGGACAGCATGTAAGAATGGAGAGAAAAAAACTAAAAAAATATTGTTATCAGACCCCTTGCGGCAAGCTGTAATGCAGCTCAATTTGTAGGACAAAAGGTTTCCAATTCTCAGGAGATTGAAATTCTTCTGTTTTTCTCCTCCAAATTGAGGTGCTTTGACGTCGCATGTAAGGGGTCAATAAACCAATAATTGACCTTGATGGGGTATCATGCAATTGAATAACGGCATACATGATGCCAGGTTGCAAAGACAAAAATTGAAATTGACGTATGGATTAGAAATGGCAGATGTCCCATCAGCACATATTACGCCAAAACAGAGATTTTAAAGCCTCTAAACTTTTCCTCGATTTATTTCAAAGATGAGGAAGGACTTGTAATTCTATAGATAATAAATACTAATCATTAATGTATTAATCCCACTTTATAAATTATGCACAGTCATTGAATTTATTAAAAAAACTTTGCTTGAATTATTTGCACTTTGTTTGCACCATTCCAGGGTTTTCATTAAGTTTTAGAATAATAGGAGAATATTAGGATCTGGCCAGATAGTCCTGGCAGGCTTTTAGTATACAGTCCTTTGGCTAAACGTTGTCGTTTGATCGGCTTCATCCCTACGCGCCTAGACCGAACAGGATCATGGGGATAATTCACAGTTACTAGCTGCCGCATGTGTTATCTAACACGTCTTGAGCTCGCTTTTTTCGATCCCATTTAATTTGCTAAAACCATGCCTCGAGCATACGGCGAAGATTTAAACTGGCGAGCAGTTTGGATGACGCAAGTTCTGGGTAATTTACCCGTTATCCTTTTCGGTCTAGGCGCGTAGGGATGATCCGTTCAACGACAACGTTTAGTCAAAAGACTAAATAGGAGAAGATCATGGAACAGTAGTTCAAGCTGGAGAATTCCGCTACAGTAGCATTCTCCGATCTCCAAAACTTAATGAAAACACTTGTACTTCCTGCACTAAAAAATCTTGTGGAAGCTTCAACTTAGTCGGCATTACTCTATCATCTCGCTTCATATTTTTATTCTTTTCATTGTTAAAGACCTTTTTAGCATTAACGTCTTCCCAATTGCTGGGTCTCGCTCAGCTGATAAAAGACTTTGAATCTCATTATCTTCTCCAAATGGTGGTCAAATACTGACCACCATGTGCTGTCAGCCAGAAAAACTTGTGATTCAGCTGATGAACATTCCGCACGAGACAGCAAAGGAAGTCAAGTGAAAGCCAGCAATTCAGACCAATGTGTCATTCTCTTGAGAATAAAATCTTTCGTTTGAGGCCCCGTCCACACGTATCCCGAAATTTTTGTATCCGCAAATTTTTTTTTTTTGGATACGGGTTGCGTCCACACGTGTCCGCAAATTTTTGTGTCCGTATCCGCAAATTTTACGAAAACGGATACGTGTGGACGGTGAAAACGATTCGAATACGCTGCGTGTGGACGCAAACATTTTCGTATGCGCAAAAAATAATTTGCGGATACAAAAATTTCCGGATACGTGTGGACGGGGCCTGATACTAACATTAATATTCATTAATCTTTTCACGTACAAATGATAAAAAAGATAAAGCATACTCTAGGGAATGACATGGTTTGAATGGGAAAACATGTTTAAGCTAGAGAGGTCTGTTCAAATGAATTTCTCACACGTCTTATACATATATAAAACTAAGAAAAGTTAACATCTTTCATAGTCATGATTCAAATACAAATTTATCTATCTTATCAATATATATTTTTCTATTTTTTAAATACTTTTGAACCAATTGATCAATCACTTTATAAAGCCATTCAACCAGGAAGCTATCTAAGTCGTTGTAACCTCTCTAAATATATGTGACAGTGAACGCCTTGTCCAGTGGTATTTTAACTCCCCTTATTGTGAGAACCTGAAAAACCAAAAGAATAATGCATTTTATGATGATTTCTGGAGTTTAAACCGTTTTTTGTTCACTCCTGATCAAACATGCACTCGTATAAGCTCAAATATATGCTTTTAAAAGGAAAAAAATTGAAAATTTGTGCAGATTCTTTTGTTTTAATACTCAATCGAGATTGGCTAATTTGTATGCCAGAAAATTTGTCTGGGTGCCCTTGGTTGGTGTAGTCGCACTGTAATAGTTTCATTGCAAAAGCGCCGACCCAAATCTAAAGCTTTTCCCATAGAAGGCATGGTGCATTCAGGTCTAGCTTGAGTACAACAGGCCACTTTTGAATCAAGTAATCCGGTACCGCTCGAAGGGTGGATTTTCATTGCTCCCTAAGTACAGTACCGCTTTTGTAAGGTTAGGTTTAGTGCTATTGTTTGGATGACCAATCTTTTTTTTTTTAATCCAATCATGTAACTCGTTCCGAGCGGTACGGGCTGGCTCTTTGAATCCCAAATTACCGCTGTGTATTCCTTGATTACCCTCATTTCAGTACTCAGGGTTCGCCTTGAATCAGTGTCTAAATATTCACAAATACCAACGGTAAAGTAAAGAACTTTAGCAATATAAACACAATATTCTGTACAAAAACGCGGCTACCCCTGTGTAAATAAGTCTGTGATCAAAAAACACAGCAGTAACTTGGATGAACTATAAACTGGTATATTTGCATGATAAAAAAGGATGTTTGGTAGACCAGAATGCACCTTGATTTCTACATGGTTTAGATCATGTTATTTTCTTGACTGATTTGTAATTCATAAACATGCACCTTACTCCCCGATACAATTGCTGGATTTCAATCAGCTTATAAAAGTCTTTGAATCTTTTTTGCTCCAAATGGTGGTCAAACACAGGAGGGGTCTATTCATTTAATGGTGTTACCTTTAATAAGTCACTGTTGTAAGTGTAAAATTCAGAGGAGATTGCGTGACCATTGATCGTCATGCACCTTACTCCCCAATACAATTGCTGGATTTCAATCAGCTTATAAAAGTCTTTGAATCTTTTTTGCTCCAAATGGTGGTCAAACAATGAAGGGGTTTAATCATTTAATGGTGTTACCTTTAAGTCACTGTTGTAAGTGTAAAATTCAGAGGACATTGCGTGACCATTGATCGTCATGCACCTTACTCCCCAATACAATTGCTGGATTTCAATCAGCTTATAAAAGTCTTTGAATCTTATTTCCTCCAAACGGTGGTCAAACACAGGAGGGGTCTATTCATTTAATGGTGTTACCTTTAAGTCACTGTTGTAAGTGTAAAATTCAGAGGAGATTGCGTGACCATTGATCGTCACACTTGCTGGTTTATGCTCCAATCCATACACTGAAATAAGTGCAAGAGAGGCCTGTGGTTGATAGCTGCTCTTTGGATCAACGGAAGACTTAAGAACACCCTAAGAATGTGAGATTTCATAATTAGAAAACACCATATAACAAAGATGTTTGGACCCTAGCTAGACCACAATGCATCCTGTTCACCGTTGTACCATAGCCGGAAAGCATTCCCGGCAAAGAAAGAAATAATACTCAAGGGAATGACACATGGTCTGAAATGGGAAAACATTGCACCATAGCTGAAAAGCATTCCCAGTAAGAAAGAAATAATACTCAAGGGAATGACAACGTAAAGATATCTATTTAACAGGCGGGCTGCAAAAGTTAGTTTTTGGAATCAATATTTTTCATGCAAATATGTAAAACCCACAACGGACAGACCTTTATGGATGATAATAGGGACCTTAAGCTGCAGGACGGCGCAACGCCGGCGACAAAGCCGGCCAAATTGAGGTGCTTTAACCTTTTATTGTACTATTAATTCTTGTTTGTCTATTATTTTAATCATTAAGCACCCCCATTTTCGAGTTAAATGACGACTTTTTGGAGCGCTTTCGTTAAGAAGAAAATCAGCAAAGATAAGCTTTTGGCGTAGCTGTTCTCTTTTGCGCAAAACGAGGGCATTTCACGTCTTACTTTAAGCATAAGACGGCAATGATGCATGGTGTTTCGTACAATGCAACGTGTCAATTGAATAACGCAATTAGTGCCATTTTATGCTTGCCGTCGATACGTCGTTGTTGCCGTCCTGCAGCTGAAGGTCCCTGATAATAAGAAAGATGGCTCCTACCTTTGAGGCAGTAAAAGACACGGAGAGGAATGGCGCCTTGGTAAATGCATCTAAAGATGATATGACGTTATGTTGGTTATTTGTTTCTTATTTCATTACACTGAGCACCTACTAGTCTTCACTATTATCAGTGATCATCATCACCATCAACAGTCGTCATTCAATCAGTCATCACTATCATAATACGCCATTGAACATTTACAAATATGTATAATATTATCACTATCAAACACCTGTCATCATCAATCCATCAAACATCATTAGGCATCAATCCATCAAACATCATCAGTCATCATCAATCCATCAAACATCATCAGACATCATCAATCCATCAAACATCATCAGTCATCATCAATCCATNAACATCATCAGTCATCATCAATCCATCAAACATCATCAGACATCATCAATCCATCAAACATCATCAGTCATCATCAATCCATCAAACATCATCAGTCATCATCAATCCATCAAACATCATCAGTCATCATCAATCCATCAAACATCACCCTCACCATTACTCATCATATCAATCAATCAATCAATCAAATCTTTCTTTAGCACCTTATTTACAATTGTTTAACTTAACATAAAATACAAATATAACATCTTTTAAGATGCCATACTAGCTACAGTAACCAGAGGTTAATCGAGGTAGCTAGTAGGCTTGTAAAAACATTTGCAGGATGTAGTCAGGTAAAGTGTTCTTAATAGAAAGAATAGTTAACAATAAAGTCTTGTAGGAATTAAATAAAATATACAAAAAAAATAAAGAGTTAAAGTATAGAAGAAAGAAATATTTATAACAAATATTACCAAAAATATATACAGATATACATGAAAAAAAGAAGAACAAAAGGAAATTTGTTCTTTGTTAATATATTTATTGATTTCATTTTGTTGTTATTTCTAATTTGATAATTCTCAACCGTTATTATATCAACAATCATTCTCAAGGCAATAACCTTACCGAGGGATTCCCCATCATCCACATGTAGGATTCCTTTAGCAGGAACGCCATCTACACCTGATTTTGCTACGACTAATCCAAAAGGGTTCTTGCGGCTGTTGAAAAAATGAATCAAACAACAGCATATTAAAATATTTTTCCCCAGCAGAAATAGTCCCCTTCACAGTTCCCTGTGCCATCTTGAAAAGTAGCCGTGCCTTTGCATTGAAGCGAGACGAACAGTGAGCTTGCAGTGACAGAGACATGTGAATAATTGTTCAAGGTGTTAAAAAAGGTCTCTATCATTACAAGCTCACCGTTCCCCTCGCTTCGATGCAAAGGCAAGGCTACCTTTCAAGATGGCAAAGGAAATGTGAAGGGGACTATTGAGGCAATCTTTTGGTCAAGTATGGTGTAATCACTCTCACCTCTAGCTGGGGTCAGGTTCTCGGGTCAAGTATCAAATATATTAGTAGACAGGGACGTAGCCGGAGGGGCCAACGGGACCCTGCATCCTGACCATGCTCCTGGTAAAGTTTGTTAGGTCTCTCCTGGACCACTGATTCTTCGCAAATCCCAATTGATAATTTTTGTGCACAGAATGATAAGACTCATTTAAAGAAAGGAAAGGAAAGGTAGCCAACGTTTTGGGCTTTGCAGCAGAAGCTCACTTATGCTGCCAGACTTTTGTATCATTTATAACGAGCATACCTTTCAACAGTAGTGATTGCAGCTTGCTGAACAGGAAAAATCGACCCTCCCCTGATGTGAAGAGGAGTATTGCACAACATCGAGCAGTTCAAAGTATGTTGTTGGCCACCCGATCCTTGCTGTTGTAACTTTGCTCCCTATGAAGTAATAACGACTTAAATTGGATGGTCTTATGGCCGATTTACACAGGCGACTTTATAGGTGGCTTCTGTGATGGTTTGAGCAACGATTGGTCGTTCCCTGGAGCACAGCGACCACATGTAAGTACTTAAGCGTAAGTTTGTTAACTGAATATCTTCTGTTCTTCTAGGGTTCTGTAGTTTTGCTACCTTTGCACAGCCTGCATTGAATGGCAACGCAGAGGGGCTCGCCTTACGTCTCAGCCTTTACCCTAATCCCCCTCAGCGCTACTACGTAGTTTTACCATTTTGGAATTCCTAATTACCGCTGTGTTCCTTGATTACAGACTCATTTACTCAGGGTTAGACTCGAATCAGTGTCTAAGTATTCACAAATACTAACGGCAAAGTAAAGAATGCACAGCTTCAATGATACAAACACTCCAGTGAAATTCAACGGCTCTTGACTGGAACACATGAATATTCTGCACAAATCCGAGGCTAACCCTAACTGCAACAATAAACTCGAAACTAGAGTATTCAAACAAGTGTTTTCTTAACGTTCCATTTTCGAGGGTCACAGGTCTGTCATCTGAAGTCAGTAAGTCTTCCTGGATGCATAAAGACAATCTGAATTAACTGCTAAGATACTTACTTCATACGCATCGTACCACGTGGCATCTGGAAAATAACCCGTCACGCTAGATGCTCCCTAAAAACAAAACCAGCTTCATTATTATATTTTTAAGTTACCAAAATAAGGACGTAAAATAAGCAAATGTACGATGAATTTCAAAGGCATGACGACAGTTTTTAATTTTTTTTTACATGTTTCAACAGTAATACCATGCGAGCAGAGTCTCCTTTTACTTCCCCTACGAGCGAGAGGAATTTCTTTCCTTCTCTCGTCCGTAGAGGAGGTGAAATAAGAGACTAAATCTGCTCGCAGGGTACGACAGTAACAACTGTCATCTTCAAAGTGGTTATACAAGGCAAAGGAATGAATATATACTGCATGGAAAAGGAGAACTGTTTGGTGCATTTTGGAAATGTTTAGACAACACACATAAAGGTGATGTTGCACGGCACAACTTGCAACACCGATTTTTCGTGCAACGCTATTGCGCCAATTGTGTGTCGATTTTTTTCGACATGTTACACGGGAACAACTTTTCGCGCAACATTTACTTTAGTATTCAGTCCAAGCGCTGCCAACTCACTCACGACTATCTTTTTTCTTCTTTTCTTGCTTTTATCATTTTTTATCAACTCCAAAAGTTTCATCTTATCCGTTTCATTAGGTTTAGACAATTGTAACAGTTGCTGTACTCTAAACTTACTTCTTCTACAGTCGGCGCCATTTTGTTGCGCGTCAAATCGGCGATGGACCTGTTACACACATCGATTTGCTGCGAATTCGTCATCTTGCGTTTCAAGTTTTTGAAGCCAGATCAAAAACTTGCAACGTGTTGCAGAGTGAAATATTGCGAAAAATCGGTGTTGCAAGTTGTTCCGTGTAACACCACCTTAAGATGAATGTTTTAACTAAAATAAAGCCACCAATCACATGTATTACGAAACGCATTTTACCTGTTGCAGTACTGGTGTAATCAGCAAACTAGAACCCCACAGGAATTGCTGGTCGATCGCTAAAGTATTCGAATCTTTAGGAAATCTGAAAGGGATAGATTTTACTCAAATTAATGGTTTGCAAGCATCCCCAACAAGGTCAAATAACACTGAAAGACATTACGATATTAAGGAAGCTAACGAAAAACCCTTTTGTAACGTGGCCACCGGCGATGACGTAACATTCACACTCCTTTCCCTTCTCCTTCTCCTTCTCTTTCTCTTATTTGTCCTCCATCACCTTCCTTTAATCTTTCTCCCTCTCATCAATCAACAAATAAAGTCATCTGTAGACTCACTCGAAGAATAAAGGCGTAGCCACAGTTTTCCCAGACAGACTTGCCTCTACAAACAGTGTATAGAGATAGGGGAGCAGTTGGTATCTCATGAGTAACACGGTACGGGCCATCGCAGCAAAGCTGTCACCAAATGCTGCAGGATCTTGTGGCTGCAGGGTGGAAATCAATTTCAAAAATGAATAAAAAGACAAATAGACCCCTTGCAGCACGTCGGAATGCAGCTCAATTTGGAGGACATAACAATAGATTTCCAATCCTCATGAGATTGAAATTCGTTTGTTTTGTCCTCCAAAATGAACTGATTTGACGTCACATGTAAGGGGTCTATTGACAGTTCTTGGAGTGCAAACATGTGACTCAAAATCCCTTGAGGTATAAATAACAATGAAGCAGCCGCCATCTTGATTGATCTAACAAGAGAAGCTAATGAGGAATGTTTTATTATCGTCAACCAACATGGTGGCTATGACGTAACATGCACCCAAAGAATAGGAGGATACCAATGAAACAGCCACCATGTTGGTTGATCTAAAAAGAGAAGCTAATGAGGAATGCTTTGTTATTGTCAACCAAGATGGTGGCTATGACATAACATGCACCCCAAGAATACAATGTTCCAAAGGGACAAAATAGACGTCATCTGGGAAAAATGTCCCCTTAAAACAGTCCCACAATGCAAAGCAATGCCAACTCGACGCATGCACAGTTTTTCCCTCAACCTCGGAATGGTTTATTCAATGTACCTTGGCATTAATAGTATTGTGATTCCTAGAGAAAGGGTAGAACGCACCAAGTTGGGTCCACCTTGCACACAGCTCTAGTGTAGTATCACCATTGAATCCACAGATGTCAGCACCGACCAGTGGTATACCGAAGAGATTGAAGTTCAGGATTCCTATCAGAAATGAAAAAAAGGAGTTGTTCACACCAAATGTAAAGTAAAAGTTAGTGATAAAACGTGCGTGTAGGGGCGTGGTGACAAAAAAGTGACAAAAATCAACTCTACCCGGCACAGAGAGCCGAAGATTGTCCCAATTTGCATGATTGTCGCCCAACCAGTGTCCACCATGTTGTCCACTGTTCGGGTAGGTAGAGCGACTTATGACCATAGATCTCTTGCCACGTACAGACTCCAAAGCTCTAGTAAATGGTAAGAAAAGCAATAATATTAGGTTTTTGTTTCAGGGTTCGATTTGTGAGTTAGCCGTGC